TATTTTTATAGATACTCTCTTGGTGATCATTACTATTTGACTAACATGAATATTCCCAAGAGTCATGTTTTTGTTTTTATTTCCAATCATATATATATATATATATATATATATATATATATATATATATATATATATATACACATACATACATATACATACACACACACACATACATACATATACATACACACACAAACACACACACACAAAAACATACACACACTTATAATAAAGGTAAAAAGGATATATGCAGTGTTATCTTCATTTTAGATATCAAAAGGGTTTTGCGGCTCCCAGTGTTTTGTTTTTGGTGGGAAATGGGTCCAAGTGGCTCTTTAAGTGTTTTGGGTTGCCTACCCCTGAACTAGACATACCCAATTCCACCTGTCAATAGGACAGTCAAATAATGTAAACCAGTGTTTCTCAATCTTGACAATTTTAAGGCATGTGGACTTCAACTTCCAGAGTTGCACAGCCAGCATCGCTGGCTGTGGAATTCTGGGAGTTGAAGTCCACATGCCTTAAAATTGTCAAGGTTGAGAAACACTGATGTAAACGTAGTTACAAGTCTGGTCATAAGTCAGCTAGTACTTAGCATTAAAGCACTTTGTTCTTGGAATCTGAATCCAACTGAAGCCAGTCACATTAGTTTTAAAAGTAAGTCAGGAGATACCTAGTAAATCATAGGCCAGCATTTATTTGGGGCAAGTTTTTGGAAACATCACTCGAATAATAAAAAGAGCTGAGCAACAAGTTTTGCTGAAGATAAATCAACATGGATTCAGCAAAGGGAAATGTTGTCTTACCATGCACTTAGAGGTGAGTCTTCCCCGTGATATACTTGGATTTCCAAATATTCCTAGACGGCAGGTTCTGTCATTTGATGGATTGTTGCATTGTTAAAAAGCAGAAAACAAAGAGAAAGAATAAATGGTCAGTTTTTCGGTAGCAGGAAGTGGGGTCTTCTAGGAATATGTGTTGGGTCTAAGCATCTTAGCTTATAGATGAGTTACAGATTGATATAGGATGAGATTAGAAACCAGGAGACTGTATATATGTTCAAGCCCTATCTTAGCCATGAAAGCCAGCTAGGTGACTTTGGACCAATCATCTCATAGGGTTGTTTTTGTGGAGAAAATAGGTATGTGGGCTTGGTTTGCCACCTTGAGTTATTTGTAAAGATAATTAAAAAAAATAAATAAAGATGGGATACAAATAATAAAAAAGGATCTTTCTACTTATACAGTATATACAGTTTATAATTATCTTAATATAGGATAATTATCTTAATACATGATAGTGTATCAGGTTTGCTGATACACCACAGAATTCAGGTGAAAAATAAATGATGGTGAAGGGCTCCATTAGGATCTCTCTAAACTAGATGAATGGTCAAATAGTACAATTTAAGTAAGTGAAAAGTGAATTTACATCAAAGTAACACTCTCACTTCATAAATAAACTAGTGAGATTTGTGTTTCTGTGTCTAATCATAATGAAATTTAGTAGTAATTTAATGAAGATGTGCATTTAGCATACCCACTAGTGAAAAAGGCAAATTCCATCTAGTATTCATTAGCAAGGGAACTGCCAGTACTGTAACACCTTTATACAACTCTGTGGAATGTTTGTATTTGGAAAAGTGTGTATCAACAATCAAATGGAGTTACAGAAACTAGCATTGAAACAGGGTATATGGAAAGGTATAGAACAGTGTTTCTCAACCTTGACAATTTTTAAGCATGTGGACTTCAACTCCCAGAATTCCACAGCCAGCAATGCTGGCTGTGGAATTCTGGGAGTTGAAGTCCACATGCTTTAAAATTGTCAAGGTTGAGAAACACTGGTATAGAAGAAGTTGGGGGAAATGATTGGAGGACTCAGACATTTTCCCCAAAAGATCAAGATCTATACCAGCGGTTCTCAACCTGTGGGTCGCGACCCCATTTGGGGTCGAATGACCATTTCACGGGGGTCGCCAAACAACGCGATCCGCCATTTTTTTCATCAGCCGGCGCAGGGGGTGGCGCCGCGCATGCGCGCTGTGCAGGGGGCGGTGCCGCGCATGCATGCCACGCAGGGGGCGGCGCCATGCATGCGCGCCGCGCAGAGGGGCACCGCGCAAGCATGCCGTGCAGAGGGCAGCGCCACGCATGTGTGCCGCACAGGGGGCAGCGCCACGCATGCACGCCGCCTGCTTATGACCGGGGTCGCCGTATAAAAAGGTTGAGAACCACTGATCTATACATTCATGGTGAAAAAGATCTCTCTCTCCCCACCTCTCTCTCTGTTTCTCTCCCTCTCCCTCCCTCCCCTCTTGGACACTTTGTTGAAACTAACCAATGGAAAGTAGTTCGAAAGAAAAAAGAAAGGCATTTCTGTGGAATGTATTATTATCAATCCTGCTGAAAAACAATTCTAGTTCTTCCTTCTCAAAACTCCATTTTATTTTTCTCTCAGTTTCTTATTTTTCAGTCATGACATTTAAAGTAAGAGCTTGAAGCAGATATAGTCTTTCTCCTACTCACACAAACACACACAAACAAAGAAAAAAATTCTCTGTAGTAATATCCAATATTGATGACTCTTGATTAAACAGAACACAAAAAGAAACATGTTTTCAATTTTGCTCACCCGCATATCAAGATTTATTTTTCTATTTTGCTTCAGCTTAGACATGAACATTAGCATGGATCACTATCCTGGACAGCAATGAATGAATGAATGATGAAAATATAAGTTGTGACTTTATGTGTTTGTGTAGAAACAGGAGTCTGCACAGTCTGAAAGTAAACAGAGGATTAAAAGAATAATGGAATGCTCATTATTAGTACTATTGGACAAGCAAAATAATTCAAGGAAACTTATCAATATTTTCTGTATTATCAAATGTAGTTTTTGCCTATGAATGCTGACCTATTTCTTTGCTTTTTGATATTTTATGCTTTATAATTCCAAGGGAAACAGCAAACTATAAAAATAATGAAATACTGTATGTATTATTCTGCTTAATTGGACCTATTTAATGTGGTATAAATTGTGATTTCTAGAGTTTTCTGGTTAAATAGATTCTTGTTGGTAGGCTTCAATGTGCATTACATTTTTGCAAGTTTGTCCATCCATTGCTATCTCTTAATATATTCATTCAATAAAGCACATTAGTTCTCCATTTGTTTCATGCAGATTCTGACTTCCCACAAAAAAAAAGGAAATCTTTCTTCTTTTCTTGTTTTAATATATGGAATTTAGTAGAACACCCTAATGCTGGGGTTTAGAAAGTTTGTAAAACTTAAGGGATCTGCCTGTACTAGTTTCTTGAAGAAAGTCAGAAATATCAGCCTAATACAATATTGGCAAGCACCTCCTTAAGGATCAAGCTGAATAGATTTAATAAAACAGCACTTTGAAAACCTCTGCTTTTATATGACATGGCATTATTGCTGCATTTTCTTTAAAGAACGGTTAAGGGAAAACCCTAAGCCAGAGCTAATCTTGGTGCTTATTCACCTCCCTCTATCTATCATAATCAGGCCCTTATTCCAACAGCTTTTCCAAAGTGAACTCCCATTCAGATAATTTTCTTAGTCATGAGAAATAACTTAACTCTTTAGTAACAGTCACCCATTGCAATATTATTGGGATAATTCTGCTTGCCTATTTCTGTGTCTTCTGCTCCTGGCTTTTGTTTTAGAATCTAGATTACTGTCCATTTTGAGATGATTCAGAAAATGGGGTGATACTTTTAATTGTTAATACTTTTAAAAAATAAAAGAACACTTTATGACAAAATATAGCATGATAATCAAAGATCCTACTATAAATTCCATAAAGTTTGGTTGGACTTTCTTTTAATAATTAGGGATTATTCTTTAACAGAAATTGAAGACCCTTTTCTTTAATTATTATCATAGTGGCAGTTGCAGGATTTGTGAACTAGTGCTTTTCTTAATCACTTCTGTAGTGGATTCATGTCCTATGGATATCCTCTTTATACTCTCATCATCTTAGTGAATCCCAGTCCACCTATATTATTTCCACTCTACACTTTTTTTATATGTAAAATTCTTTCAGAAGTTTTAAGAGTCACGTGAAAGTGTTACACAACCATTTATAGTAGCTATTAATTAAAAAAATATCAGTTAACTATGAAATTGTTAACTTACATTGCCAATTTGTATTTAGAGAGCCTATTTGGTCTAGTGCAGATGTCCCCAACCTTTTGGCCATCAGGGACCATTTCGGTGGAGAGAGGTTTTTCCGCGGACCAAAGGATGTGTGGTTTTTGTGCTGCCTACTTTGTGTGGATGTGGCTTTCTTTGCTTGTGTGGACTGGTTGCTGGCATGCTGCAGCCTGGTAGTGGTCCACAGACCGTGGGTTGGGGACCCCTCGTCTAGTGGCTAAGGTATCAGGCTTGAAAGGGGGATAGTCCCACCTTATCCATGAAAGCCAGCTGGATGACTTTGGTCAGTCTCTCTCAGCCCAAACCACTTCACAGAGTGATTGTTGTGAGGAAAATGGAAGGCGGAAGGTATGTTGGATATGCTCGCTGCGTTGAACTATTTGCAAAAGTAATAAAGGCAGGTTACAAATAAATAAATACATAGAAATTAACCCATATGTTTGAACAGACGTGGGTTTCCTTCTGATAGACTTCAAACGCTGATTGAAAAAAACTTACTGTGAACATATTGTTGATAAATTCCACTGTTTTCTATTTTCAGGAGGAAGATAGCTGAGTATAAAAATGTACATTTTCAAGGCAACATTTGTGTGGGTTGAGGGGAATATTTGCCCATTATATTTTCACACTTTTTTTTGCTTTGCTTCACTGAGATAAGTGCTGATCCTTTCTTTTCTTAACAATTTGAATATGCACATGCACAACAAGAATTAAATATTGATAGAAAGAAGTGCAAAAGGTAAGATCACCTGGAAGTTTGATAGGTTTTTTTTAAAATTATGGTTTTTTATTTTCTTTTTTTCTGACACATTGCAGATCTCGTCTTGCAGACTTTTTCACAAACTGCCAGCCTGAGTCACGGTCTGTTAGTAGCTGCCTGAAAGAAAACTATGCTGACTGCCTCCTTGCTTACTCAGGACTTATTGGTAAGGCTTATTTGGGGGAAGGATCTTTTTTTAAAAAAATATGTAAAATATGCTTTGTGGTTTGATATCAACATGAGAAAGCAATAAAGATAAAAACAAAATGCATGGATAACTTGTAGATTCCACAAAAGAGTCTTTAAGTTATCCATGGCTATCCATGACTATTTTAAAAAATGAAAACTTATTTCCGCGTACGATAATCTCATACATAAAGAAGCTAAGGTTGAATGAGCACAGATAGGAAAAAGCTGGCACGGGATTGGAAAGGTAGTTAGAGAAGGAAACATACTACATACATACACCACTTGCAAGAATTATTTTTTATCCAACTTTAGTTTAGGTTACATTGTCCCAGCCTAGCACAGATATGTCAAACTCACGACATCACGTGACGTTGTGCAACATATTGGGACAGTTTTGCCATTGCTGGCAATGGGGTGAGTGCGGCTTCCGAATGACGCATCCGTCCCACGGGCCGGCAGTTTGACACCCCTGGCCTAGCAGGTCATACTTCAATTCATTCACATAATTAACAAGGGAATATCGCATAACTAGATTTTCTTTGAAAAAAGGGATGAATTATTTTATAAAATATAGGACCGCCATTGCCATTTACTTCCGTAGTTTTGTTTATAGAATATAGCCTATGTCATCTTCCTTTCAAGATCATTACTTTGTGGAACCGTCTTTTCCAAACTGGATGACATCCAGAGGCAGAGACTATAATTTCCAAAACTCTGATCCTTGCCATGCTGACTAAAAATCCTGAGACCTGAAGTTCATACTTTGCAAGGAATTTACATCTAGGAAGACTGCTGTAATGAACTGACGTCAGGGAATTGCATAACAGGTGTCTAAATGAAGTCAAAGACGCTGATATAAACTTGTAGTTTTATATAAATAAATATATTTTACATCTCTAAATTCACCAAACAAGGTAGTCAGGCAGATCATCATCATCAAACAAGATCATCAGGTAAATCACAGAGCGCACAGGTACACAGAAGTAAAAGGCAGGACAAAAGGGAAACTCCACCCTCTACACCCACAGCAACCAATCAAAGCACAGATTGCCTCACGCAAGAGCCAGCAATCTCAAGCCAATCAACTATTTTTTTAATTTAGTTTTATTCATTTATAACATAAAATGTGAAAATACAAAAGCAAATAGTAGGGGACAATGGTAGAAAAAGGTGTGAAGAAAAGGGGAGAGAAACAAAAGGCATTGACTTCCGACTCTCTCTGTTGCAGTAAAATCAGACATTAAAATCAAATCTCAACATTTTATATTTCTATAGTAGTATTCACTAGCCATTTCTGTATTGGCAAATCAGTCTAATCAGTAAAACCCAAAATCATGATTTCATTTTTTTCCACCTCAAGCACAAAGTCCAGATGCAGTTTCCAAGTAGAAACAAAAGTACTTATGTTCTTTTCTTCTATCAGCAAAGTCAACTTGGCCATCTCTGCTAATTCCATCAGCTTTTGTAACCATTCGTCCATGGTAGAAATCGAGGCATCCTTCCACTTTTGTGCATAGAGCAATCTTGATGCCGTCACCATATATAAAATCAGAGTTCCAATTTTTTTCCCAGTTCTCTTTCCATTAGGCCCAGAAGAAAAGTTTCTGGTTTAATCTTTATGTTCACTTTAAGAATTTTCTCCATTAATATATGAATCCTACTCCGATATGTCTTTGCCTTATCACATGTCCATCATAAATGATCAAGAGTACCTTCTTTACATTGACATCGCCAACATTCATCTGAAATATCTTTATACATTCTAGATGAATTATCTGGTATTAAATACCAGTGATACATCATTTTGTAGAAATTTTCGTTTTGGTTATAATTTAATGTGAATTTTAAGCCTTTTATCCACATATTCTCCCATTGTTCAAGTATCACATTATACCCAAAATTCCTCGCCCACTGGATCATACAGTGTTTTACATGTTCATTTTCCAAATTCAGTTTTAATAACATTTTATAGACCAATCAAACCAATCAACTATAAGTATGTATTCTGGCTTACTGCATAACCCCACTGCTCCGGCTACTAAATTTAAATATCTTAACATGTTTCATCAGTACAGCTTGTAAATACTCTTGGTGTGACTTGCCTTTATTTTAAGTGTTTCACCATCCACCAGAAGCTCACAATGTAATGGATCAACAACAATGATGTTCTCATTGCAACATTGGTTGTGTTACATGAAAGCTAGTCTTTTCAGCATTTAAAATGGCAGTGCACATAAAATATGCTCTTTTTTTAAGTGATATTAGTACTATATAAGCCTTCAGAACACTTAATTTGGCAGAGACTATAAGATGGCAGAGACAATTTCCTGCCATCTTATATGAGAGGCTAGCTGAAAGCAATTATGAAATGCTTTGTTAGCAGAAATACAGGAAAATTGGGATTTCCAGTGATGGGGATGCCTGTATTTATATTTGGCTGATACAGTGGTTATGATCTTCTCTAGTTTTCCTGCTCAAACGAAGAGGATCTGGATTGGAAGGAGTGGTGCCCAGTTACAGTTTTTCTCCTTTCTGTATATAAATAGGAAAAATGATCAGAAATATACATAACTAATATTACCCTATGTCTCTTTATATCAAGATTTTGAATTTCCCCCAGTCAATTTGTATACAATTATAAAAAATATTTCTTGTACTTTTTGAGTAAAGATAAATAAATGGGATGAGTAATAAATTACAAGTCTCTCACTTGGTTTTCCGTTTTTCAAATTCTTTGATAGATAAATCATTATTGTCCTTATTACTTCACTTATTGAATAGTTTGGCAAATTTGTCATTTCCAACAAAGACAAAAGTCTTTTAAGTTTCATTTCTTACATAATATTTAGTTCTATAATGTCACCTATTTCTGTGATTATCTTAGTTTTGACAGTAAATATATGTATGTGAATGAAATATGATGAGTAAATAACATAAAAGCTGCAAATTTGATTTGTTTCAAGTTCAGAGTTTGCACCTGTCATGAAACATTTCTTGTTGTTTCTGGAAGGTGAGAAAACAACAAATCGGATTCATATAGGTATTAAAGAAATCTTTTCTGACAACCTGAGTAAAAAAATGACAATAAAGGTTATCTTATCTTATCTTATCTTATCTTATCTTCTTCAGAAGGACAGGCAGATAGCCGGACAATAGAAAACACAGTGAAAACTTCAGAATAACTGATACGTCAGCAGCCAAAAGCCATGATGTTTAAGTAGCCACTGAAAGTATTTAAATATGTTCAAGATAATGGCACTTCTGTTTTCCCAACTAAACAATGTGTCTTTTTGCAATTTTTTTGCTCCGGAACCAGTAGGTGTCAAAGAAATGCTGTCACACCATTGAACATTGTCTTCTTCTTAGACCAAAGTAATAATATAGGAAAACTGGCAATTTATGAATGATTATTATGGAGGCAAATGCAAACAGATAGCTTAACTAGCTACAGATAAAATAAATTGACTCTTGTACCAAGAACTAGGTATCTTAGACATCAGATTAAATAAAGTGATGTATAAATGCTAGCTGCTGGTAAGAAATACGTTTAGTACTATGGTTAGCTCAGAATAACAACTTCTGGCAAGTAGTTCCAGATATGATACCTTTCCCTTGAAGTTTTCTTGAAACTATTCTTCAATTTAATATTATAATAATTATAGTGCTTGTAGGGAGGCAGTTTCGTATGTTTTCCTTTCTTATTTTTTTCTGTTTAAAATTTAAATTTTAAATTTTAAACATCAAAAATAAAAACTAACAGATACTAATTAGAAAAAGAAAGAAGAAAAAATAAAGAAAGAAATAGAGAACAAACCCAGAAGTGCATTTTCGTGTTTCCATAGGCTAAGGTATTGCACAAATGCTAGAAGGACCACTGCAAAAACATCCTTTGGTTTCAAGTTCAGTAGAAAGAATCCTGAGAAACCAACATAAGTGGATATCTGATTATGAAGGGAAAATACATTCTTCTTTCTTATTTATAACAAGAATGAAAACAAGAATTTTTGCTTTGTCTACTCTCATTACACTCCTTACACTGAGAAATTTGCAGACCACACAAAAAAAATCTTTAAAAAAATTCAGTCTTTCAGTTGTGTTTTTGGCAAACCAGACCAACCATCAGCTTAGAATACTAGGTTAAATAGATTATTGTAATGTATATATTAACAATTTGGTTGCGTTGCAACTGGTTCATTTTTATTATGGTGATTTTGCCCAGGTTTTTGCCCATGAGGTGGTGTTTTTTTTTTTTGTTTGTTTGTTTGTTTGGAAGATACCATTTCAAAATATTTTCTATTTGCTGAAATTACACATTCAAAAATCTTATTATGGAATACAATTAATTGTATTATGAAATTTAATATTATGTATTCCAGCTCAAATATTGACAATTATTCATGCTAAAATCACTACAATTTGCTTGCATTTCTTTTTTTATTCAGTACTGTATCATTTAGTTTATCAGTCGATGCTCACAGTTAGATTAACCACTGCTAACAAAACAAACCAGTGTAAAATATTTACTCATATAAATACTAAATGGCAAATTATCCATACAAATCTTCCACAAATTAACTACAGTAAACCATTTCTTAAGATTCTTCTTCTAAATCAGAAGGGACCATGCCTCTTTTCTCTCCAAGAGGAGTTCTAGACTGATGGGATTATTACAAAGCAGCCCCTCTCTGAAAACCATGTGACTTAATATTGTTGCCACTTGTCACGAAAGAATAGTTGTTGGAAGCCAGTGATCATCACCTTTCAAACATATGACCATTACACAAAACTATGTTTAAGCAACTATATTGGCCCCAGATGATAAAACTCTAGGCCCTAAAAAAAAAAAAAAAAAAGAATGTGGTCCCGCAAGACAACTGTTTGCTCAGTCTGTTATCATTTGGCCACATTAGAAGCTAACAGTATTATTTGTTTTGGTATATACTGCTACAAATTCCAGATTGAGTAGGACCTTTTTCTTGATTCCTTATACTTCCACATATCAACAAACTGTGATCCATTCCTGCTTATTAGCTATCCTTGTGGGCAAATGTATATATCAACTGGATTACACATATACAGTTGTTTATTTATTGGGCTGCCCACACCAAATTCATGACCCTGGGTGGGTAACAATCTTAAAATGAAATATGAAAACAGGAAAACAACAAGCAAAGAAAGAGCAGCTGAGGTAATAGACAAACTCATTCATCTCAAATCAACATGACCAATGTACAGCTCAGCCACACTTCCTGACTTCCAGGCCTTGTCACATATAATAATGATATATAATACTGTAACAGTATAATGCTGTTAGCCTGGGATTGAGTATAACGCATCTCCCTTTGAATAATTAAAATAGCTTCAAACATTTCTGAAAGCAGACTCTGGTAAAAAGGCACAGGTACTTCAACAATTTGAAAAGTATTGCTTTGTATATGTTTCCACATGATGTGGAACATCTCTTGCAAACAGTTTGCATAATGAGGAGAAGGAAGAGCAGAAATTCTTCGCTCTTATCTTTTATTTATTTGTTTCATTTATTTATCTAATTTATATAGCCGCCTAGCTCACCAAATGTAAGTCTGGGTAGTATGCAACATAGCTAAAAACAATGGATAAATATGTAAAAACCCCGTCATTATTTGTGGTTTATTAAAACTTATTAAAAACTATAAAAAACAAACAAGAGAATAACAGAGGAAAGTATTCTGTCACATATTTAGTTAAATATTCAGTGGCCCCGGTATGTACCTGAACACTTAATCCTTTGTTCCAGAGTACACTGTAGTATGCAAAGTCGATCATCTGAATTATCAGTCACAATCACAACCATCAATTTGACCAAACTATGTGTGGATTAAACAGCAATATTCCATTCTGTATTTTGTTTAATAGTGAACGGATTAACACATGTTGTTTGCTATACCACATGGGTTATAAAATCAATGTGGTGAACTAGACCAGGTGTTCAAATACTTTGAAAGTCCTCCAATTTCTTCTTTTTCAGGAATATGGTTTTAAATACACATACACACAGAGAGAGAGAGAGAGAGAGAATATATTCTTGCTTTAATGGTTCTAGCCTGTTTTATTTAATATCCCTTTCCGTTTCTCATGTCTGTGAAGAATCTACCCTTAGAAGCATTTTCCATAGTAGCTCCCTTTTCTTGAATTTATCAATTTCATTCTGTGTTTTCATTTAGAATAGCTTTATTTCTGATGATATAAATTGTGCACCAGATACAATATCTAGCTGTTACTGTAGTGTTCATTTGAATGGGAGAACTTTATTAGTCTTTTTGTTCCTGATTCCGGTATGCATGTGACATAAGAGTCATTCTTCAATTTAGCCCTCCTATTTATCTTTCATCAAGCCTTGATTAATAGGACTTGTAATAGTTGTTTGTTTGTCTGCATTCTTCCACCTGCATTTCATTAATTCAAAGCTCTGTTACTGAAGTTTCCCGAGCTTCTGTAGATAGTAGGCAGTTATCACTAGTGTTATTTGCCAGAATTTCCAAATGGACCCAGAGACTAAATTTGCCATCTTATTCAAAAGAGTCTAATAGCAATTCAAGAGTGTGAAATTGATGAGTATGTCCTTTTGTACATAAACCTGATTCCCATCCGACTATGGCAACTATTAATTTCATTGTGATTCAATTCTTTTACACAATTTCAGCCAGAGTCCTAGTGAATTAAATTATGCCTGTTACAAATCAAGAAAATAGTGAACATATTGCTAATTTTGTCCTGAATATATATATATATATATATATATATATATATATATATATATATATATATATATATTTCAAGAACTCAAAAAATGTTGTGAAACGTATTTTTTTCCTGCTTTCCAGTTTCACATTATATTTTTAATCTGAATATTTAACCATAGTACTATTACCACATAATTATTATTACTTCATCAGAGTTGCTGTTTAACTATGCTACTTTTTTCAAATATTAATGTGTATCATGAATAACATATCTATATCTAAACTCTTCTGAAGAAAGTTATTTCTCTTTTAGAGTATAATTCCCAGAATTCCAAGGCAATGTGGCCAACAGCTGGATGTTACAAACTATCACATCTGGACTGCATAATGTTGGAGAAAGCTGCTTTGCTCCAAATTTTTGAAATATTCCAATACGTCCATATGATATTCTGTACTTTCAAAAGTGTAATTAAAGTATACTTTTTTTCCTCTGTAGTAAAAACAAGCTCTTTTGTTAGTAATCATCAATATTTTCCTTCTTTTTGTGTTTCTACCACTCTCAACTCATATGCTATTTCTTGTACTGGAGTGGTCCTGAGCAACCACGTGAAAATGGTGATAATACTTTAGATTTGCAGGGTACTTTTTGTTATATTATAATTTTTATTTAAGATTACCTAGCTGTATTGGTTATTCTTCAGGATCACAAAATAAATGAATCTGAATAATGATTTCTGTTACATTATTTGTACATTAGTACTAAATGCTAAACTCTTTAGGAGATCTAGTTCTATACTTAAAATAGTACTTTATTATATGAAGAATAGCCAGTCTGAAGATTCAGATATTTTTCACTGATGCATTAAAGCAGTTAGTGCTGGACTCATAGTGTCATAATCAATCAAGCCACATTTACCACAGATACATACACAGATATACCACCAAAGATGCTTTTTCACAAGGCAACTGGACTTTCTTGTTTTTCTTTGAAGATGTTTCGCTTCTCATCAAGAAGGTTCTTCAGCTCCTTCAGCTTCTTATTCAGCTGAAGAAGCTTTTTGGATGAGAAGTGAAACATCTTCAAAGAAAAACAAGAAAGTCCAATTGCCTCTTGAAAAAGCATCTTTGGGATAACTATGACTTGGATGAATAACAACAACAACAATAATATAAAAAGGGATCTTGGAGGTCATCTAGTCCAACCCCCTGCTCAGGCAGGAAATCCTATACCGTTTCAGACAAATGTGCAGTCTCTTCTTAAAAACTTTCAGTGTTGGAGCATTCACAGCTTCTGGAGGCAGGTTGTTCCACTGATTAATTGTTCTAACTGTCAGGAAATTTCTCCTTAGAATCTCCATAGACACACAGATACACATAATACACACAGACACACAGGGAAAAACATTCCTTTTTTCATTGTCTTGAAAATTGTTTAACAGATAATATAACAATTAATGATAAATCAATACTGGGTTATTGAAAATCATAAGAACACTACTGGATCTATAGCCCAGCTTCAATATTTTATTAACATTAAAAGTTTTATAAATTTTACAATCTATACAAAAGTTTGAGCTTCCATTACTATATATAAAAAAGATATCATTAAAACTTATACTTTTTTCATTGTATAAATTTTATCATTTTGATAGCAATAAGAAAGCCGAAATCTTTGTTGGTAACAAAGATAATATATACAATTCAATAAAGATAAATCTGTAACAATAACAAAAATAATTGTAAATTTTACCCTCCTTCTAAAAATTCTCTGGATATTCCACCATATTGATCCAAAAAACATGACCACCAAATATGATATAGACAGGTTGCACGTCAGGGTACATGTAAGACATTTTTTGTGGATCAAGGTGCCATCTATAAAACATTTTATAAAAATTCTCCCTTAGATTCTGTGCTTGAGTAAATTTGACATTTCTCACCCAAATAGTTTCCCAGGTGTCCAATATTTTATTAACTTATTGACACAGAATGTCTTTCTCATAATATTTTATATTGTTCATATATTTTCATACCATTATAAATTTATTTATATAGATATATTTGCATTACAGTATTCATGAACAACTACTTTTCCAATACCTTATTGGATGTCTTTTTATGCTGTTATTATTATGTATGAATTATTATCTAAGATAGTTTTAACTTATCTAGCAATACCTGATTTTATAGAAATTTTAAACACTCCATTTATTTGATGTTATGTATAATATTTGGGGGAGGGATTGTGTATAGGAACAGAGCATTTATAGAAGCTGTATTTAAATATTTTGTGTATATCTTTGAGTAGCCTTTTGGATTTATACAGTAAGTATTGACTGATTTAAAAAATGGTCACATAAAATATTGTTCTTGATTTTTTTCAATAGGCACAGTTATGACACCGAATTATTTAAATTATAATAATCTCAGCGTTGCACCATGGTGTGATTGCAGCAGCAGTGGCAATGACCTAGAAGAATGTCTGAAATTTCTTAATTTCTTCCAGGATAATTCATGCCTTAGTGAGTATTACATTTATGTGCTATAAAATGATTCCAGGCCAATACAATCATGTATACTGAAATTACAAATATGAGATCTGTTTACATAACAAAGATGCAAAGATTATTTTCTCAGGTTCATTATTTCAAGGAGGCAAATACTCTGTAAAGGTAAAAAAAAAAAATCTAAATCACTTCCTGCACAATATATTGTTGTCCTTCTCTTTGACCAACTCTGAATCCCTAACCATAATCATAAATCAAAATTGCTGTATTTAGATATCATCTCAAATCTGGTCTCCATGAATTTTTTTTTAAAAAAAGTTGTTTGTGCATGATATTAGATATGTGCATGCCATTGGTTAAACAATACTAATAAGAGATTTCATGTATTTAGAATCCCATGCAAAAAATTGACCCAGCCTGAATTATTAATACCAAATAGGAACATTTTAATATATGTTCTGATTAAACATTTAATATATTGTATACTACATTCTTTACTGAATTTTAGTACAATGTGTTTTACATGGTGATATGAGCTTGACATTTGTTTTCCTATTATGTATAATATTACATAGAGTATACAGCATCCATATAACATATTGTAGAAGAAGGAATGGCAGAACCTGGAGCCAAAGTCAAAAGAGGAATCAGCCTAGTATCTCTACATAGCCAAGTCCAACCCCTCCCCCTTGACTCGCATTAACCCCTATCTACTGCCAAAATAGTGCTAACCATTTAGTGGAGTAGATTCCTGTGCATAGGCATGAGTAATAAATCAGTTTATTTGGAACTTCCTGTGTAATTGTGGTCTTTTTTTGTGCCTGACCCATGTCTCTTTATGTACAATGATAAAATATTTTCAATATTATTGAAATCAGCACTTTATTTCAGGCTTATGCACTCTGGTCTTCTCCTGTGGCATAGCTATTCCATTTGAATGTTTGGTTGCTATTTCCAACCAGCTTTTATTTAGTGTCATACATAATGCTAACACATTAATATGTTTTAGTGTGAGAGAAAAATAAGCAGAGCCGGAGGGGGCAAAGTTAAGTGAGTCATCAGCCTAGAGCACAGGTGTCAAACTACAGGCCCGCGGGCCGGACAGATCATCCAGAAGCCGCACCTACCCCATTGCCGCAATGGCAAAACTGTCCCGATACATTGTGCGACATCACGTGACATCGCGAGTTTGACATATCTGGCCTAGAGTCTAAGTCCAACTCTTCTTCGGTTGATCCTTTTTTACCGCCAATTTAGCTTTGATCATTAGTTGACTAGGTTCTTGTGTATAGACTTGAGCAATTAATCTTCTTGACTGCAACTTAATTTATGGCCCTGACATTTGGATGTTTCTTTCCAGTTTAGTCTGCTATGTGACTCCATCTCTTTGTCTAGAAAACCATTGTGGCGTGTTCAGTTACCTGGGAAAAAGTAGGATAAATGGCAGGGAAAAGCAGGGAGAGAAAAAAAAAAGAAACAGACAACAGACAAAAGAAACATGAACAACAGACAAGAATTTACATTACATTTCTATATCTGTTAAAAGGCTTAAACATTTTAAACTCCATGGAAATGTAATTGTAAATAATTAGTGTGGACAACACAAAGGGAGTTGCTTTAGTTGTTCCAGCCTTAATCATTTTAGGTTCATAACAGCAGCAGAATACAGATGGAAAGTAAGATACTTCTTCTATTCTGTATCATGAAAGAAACTATTTGACAGTGGTAACGATCTGTCCAACATTTTGCACATTACACGGTTTCTTTGTACCTATGCTAGAGTGGAGAATACCCAGGAACTTTAAATCTGCTATATGTAATGCTAGACCATTACTTTAAAACTCATCTATTAATTCCAGGATGTGAAAAAAATGTTTCTGAGCAGCCATGGCCTTCACTTTTGCATTTTAGAACTTCATCAAATGTAAGAAGCTAATTGAGTGCTAGAAACATGGTTTAGGAATTTTCCATCTAAATTTGATTAAATATCTATTTCTCTAATAAAAAAAGTCTGCAGATTTTGAGAAGCTTCAGTTCCCACTAAACGTTCTTAATTGTTTTAATATCTTGAAACTCAATTACCATTGCATAATTTTGAAAAGAAATACACCTTTTCTATTGTTCTTTTACTTTTAGAATAAAAATGTTAACGAAGATAAAGCAAGGTCATTAGAGGACAGTGGGAGGAAAAATTATATCTAACCTAGCAAAGACACTTTTTCTTAGGAAGAAATTAAAGGTGCCCCTGTTTCAATAGCATTTCACTGAAGGGGATTAATGTTCCATTACCTTTTTTGTTAATGGAATGACTTTGTAAACCTTTATTTTAAATAAAAGATACAATTATCTTTAATACGCATAATGTCTTGTGCATATATAAAGCAAAGCCACATTCTTTTGAAATAATAGTTGAAAGATCATATTAGTCTGGTTCATGTAGCAGAAAACCAACCAAATGGATTCAGGCATAATAGTGCAAAATATGAGAACCCAAATTATGGCTCAGTTGATATGTTAAAAGGATGTATTGTTTTTAAAAATATGCAGTTGTGCTTGTATGTTTAAGGTGGTTTGGGATTTTGAATTGGGAATCAATAACCGAACACAGGTATGCATTTTTTTAATGCAGAAATCCTTGCTCCAAAGGATTTACTCTTTACCAGAAAAGCTCATTGAATTAGGCTGGGGGTAATCAACCTTGGTTCTTTTATGACTCGTGGACTTCAACTTCCAGGATTCCTAAGCCAGCATGGCTGACACAGGAATTCTGGGAGTTGAAGTCCACGAATCATAAAAGAACCAAGATTGACTACCCCTGAATCTGCCACTTTCCTTCTGTTGATTAAAGCTGCCTTGGACCATTTTAATGTAAATATGGGTCAAAGAACACATTCAGAATTATCATAAATATACAGGCAACTGGTTCAGAATCTAGATAGAGATATTACATATAGGAGATCAAGTGTCTGGGCAGAGATGCGTACCAAAGTAAATCATTCTCTGCACACTGAAAGTGAAGACTCAAAATATTTATTCTAACTTAGTGTCCTCAGTGACATGTTACTAATCTGATAGGAAGCAGAGGTTTTTCTTTCCAAATAATTTCCTGTGAGTTAGAGAAATATAAGTCATCTTATATTCTGAGAATAGAAGACACTTTGAAGACAAATGAATGGCTGAAGATGCAAATGTTTGCAAATAGCACTGCAAAAAATTTTCTGTGCAAAAAAAAAAAACAACAGTGCAAATAGCATGTTATACTAGAATAAATGTTCTGAAGATCAGTCTGAAGCTTAGCCTTGTTTGAGAGGGACTATTTGCCTCCTAAACTGAACTCTTTTTGGGATCCTTAATTGATTTTTTTCTTCCCTGTTCAGATATCTTTGCCCCATACATCCACCTAGTCTTGTTCCTCCTTCCTTTTTTCTTTACCAAAATACTTTTATCTTGTTTTCACTTTATTCATAATAATGATAATGATGATGATGAGGAGGAGGAGGAGGAGGAGAAGGAGAAGGAGAGAATAGAGGCATGGGAAGACAAAGTACTACATGGCCAGTACATTAAAAAAAATAGCTAAGAAAGCAGATAATAACAAGACCTGGCAATGGCTAAGACCAGGAAAGTTGAAAAAACAGACTGAGGGACTAAATCTGGCTGCACAAAACCAAGCCTTAAGGACAAATGCATACAAAGGCAAAATTGAGAAGGCAGCAACAGACTGTAAGTGCCGCCTATGCAAAGAAGCTGAAGAAACAGTGGACCACCTGGTAAGCTGCTGCAAGAAGATCGCACAGACTGACTACAAGCAGCAGCATGACAAAGTAGCAACAATGATGCATTGGAAGATCTGCAAGAAATATCATTTGCCTGTAAGCAAGAACTGGTGGGATCATAAAATAGAGAAAGTCATAGAAAATGGTAAAGTTAAACTGCTCTGGGACTTCAGAATTCAAACAGACAAGCACCTGCCACATAACACGGACTTAACAATTGTCGATAAGAAAGACAAAAAAGTCTGGATAGTGGACGTGGCAGTGCCTGGAGACAGCATAATAGATGAGAAAGAACAGGAGAAGATAACAAAAAACAAAGACCTACAAATAGAAATAGAAAGACTGTGGCAAAGGCAAGCAAGGATAGTATCAATAATAATAGGTGTCTTGGGTGCAATCCCAAAACAACTGGAGCATCACTTGAACATCTTTGGCATTGACAAATTCACCATTAGTCAATTGCAAAAGGTGACCTTTCTAGGAACTGCTTCCATCCTGCGACGATATCTGTAATACCATCAAACATCCACCTCTGCCTATCCCAGGTCCTTGGTAAGGACTCGATAGGTAGACAAAAATGCCAAATCATTTGGCTGACTGTGCGATGATCAATAATAATAATAATAATAATAATAATAATAATAATAATAGAGTTGGAAGGGACCTTGGAGATCTTCTAGTCCAACCCCTGCTCAGGCAGGAAACCCTATACCACTTTTCTTTCCTATACCTTTTCTTTGTGTGTCTGAAAGAGAAAAGAAAACATTGGGAATTTCAATATGAAAGGTTTGTAAATCAAACAGAGTATGGTTAGTATGAACAGAGAGAATTTATATTGATCATAGAAACAAGCACAATTCTTAAGTATTGGATATTTAGTCAGTTGATTAAAAAGGACAGATACACACAGAGAAACACACAAATACGCATATATATGTCATTTTTATCAACTGAATGAAATCCTAGTAGTTCCTGTTTTGAAACATGTATGTATGTAAGTATGCATGCATACATACATACGTACTTATCCACATATTTTGAGGGAAGGTGGAACTATTAGGATTTATTTCAACTGGAGTTAGTAAGCCTAGGAGGTACCTTGTACAGGATTTTTCTTCTGTTTTTTTTTTTTTTTTCAATCTACTTCTCATTTGGAAGAGTTAAATTCAGGATTGTTCACCACTTCATATAAATACAATAGTTATATGTGTACTGGTGTTTTACCCCCTCCTGTTTCCCACTAATTTAGACTTTCTTTCAAATATGCTTTACTCCCCCAAAGAGAAAACTTCTCATGCTAAAAAGATATATTGAATTTTAAATAGAAGCATATTTAAACATGTATAGGATAAAGCCCCTAGAATTTGCTCAATTGTATTTGAATAATTCCATGCTAGTTTATTTCTTCAGGTTAACTATCTGTAAATCCACTGTTATCATCTTTTAATTTTCCCTAAAACGTGCAAGGCATGAAAACTTCTAAATTTTTCCTGGCTTCTTTTTGTCACTAACTGTATATATCTATAAAGTCTATTTTGTACTTTATTAAAAAAATGTTTGAAAAAGTTAAATGAAGGTAATCTTTTCAAGGTAAGCAAAAGTAAAATGATTTATAATAAGCATTAAATACTGTTGAAGAAATGTGTTAATAGCTACCATACTCAGGTCTCCAGTGAAATTGTTTTGATATACAATGAGTTTGAAATAAGAAATATCCAAATCAAGCTGAATCCCCAAAGACATGATTAAAATCTGTTTTTCTGTTCATTTGTATGTATTTTTTTAAAGAAACACCAATTTATTCTTGCCATAATTGCAGTATTTAATCCATGAAGAATTATACCTTTCAACTTTTACATGTTCGGTATTGTGTGTGAGCATATATTTCCACCTAATTATGTGCATTTTGTTTGAAGACTTGAAAGGGAAAAAAGAAAAATGACAAGTCAATTAATTAATTTAATGAATTTCCTATAAATAAATCAGCAAATTTTTCACTCTTATTTTATGAATATACAGTACATCATTGAACTGGTGAGTTTGTTTTCTTATAAAATACCTGGAATATTTTTTTATGGAACTATTACTCACTATAAATTTGTAGTTTCCATAACTTGCCTTTGTAATCTGTATTAGTGTGGACTTGGTTTATATTTTAGAATTGATGACATTAGGCACTTTTACTCTCTGAATTAAGATAGAACACCCTTTATATTGGTTGACTCAGCCTTCCATCCTTCCAAGGTCGATAAAATGAGGACCCAGATTGTTGAGGGCAATATGCTGACACTGTAAACCGCTTAGAGAAGGCCATAAAGTACTGTGAAGTCTAAGTGCTAGTGCTATTGTGATTATATGATGTATATTATTTATTTTAAAAATGTGCTGAATCACTTTTAGGGATTTCCTATTTATTTTGCTAAGTGGGATTTTCTATTCCGTAGTCTTGTCCCAGTAACACTGTTGTTATAAATGAACAGTTGAACACAATTATCACTTATCACTTAGTTGTAAACAGGTCAATTCACAACACGGAGACAGGCATGACAATCAACTGCTTCATAACTTGACTCAGAAACCATAAATTCTTTCATTCTTGTTAATCCCAAACAGTTTTTCTTTTATTAGTTTGTTTTTTAGAACTATTTTTGTTTGTTTTAAAATGTAGAAGTAAAGGCGACCGGGAACATAGAAAAAAGGAAAAGTTTGCTATTTGTTTATTTAAGAAATTGCTGTCCATTTTTTTTTTCTACAGAAAATGCAATTCAGGCTTTTGGCAATGGTACAGATGTGAATGTGTGGCAACCATTCCTACCTGTCCAAACCACCACAGCTTTAACTACAACAGGATACAGATCAAAGACATATGACTCTGAGAATGCCAACAATGAAATACCTACTAATAATGACTTGCCAGCATGTGCCAACATCAAGGTAAGAAATAACTGCAATTGGACAGTTATTTAAAACTGGGGATGGGGGGTGGGGAGAGAGGATTGTTGAACAGATGAAGGGCATGCCCTTGCTAAATGTTTGTGCATATCAAAAAAATCCAAGCTTCCTTTTCTCTGTCTATATTGCTACTTAACAATATATTATTGGAATGATGCATCCAAAAGATTATGTTAAGCCAGTTAATTCTGATTTTATATTACTGGAATCCTGGTTCCATAGAGCAGGATGGGTCGTTAACTGCAAGAAATTCAGAAAAGAACTTGACAACCTGAATGGATGTTTCACACAAGGCTGGATTATTAACTCATGTTATATCATTGCTTTAGACATGATTCATTTTAAAAAAATCATTGGTCCATACATAACATTAAACCATAAACAATTCATAATGGTAAACTGTACCAAAATGGTGGGGTGTACACATTGCACTGTGCTAAAAGAACCAAAGTGCTCTACTGTTATGTGTGAATGATATCAATAATGTACAGTTGATATTAATAGTAGGTGGGAATTAGGTGGTGGATTGCTAACAAAATGGTACAGAACATAGCCACGTGAGCAATTTTCAGCAGCCCTGGGATGGTGCATATAACACCTTTGGTGCATGAGCTTGGTTTGGTTCCAGGTCCAATTCAAGGTGTTGGTTACTACCTTTAAAGCACTACATGGCTTAAGCCAGATTATCTGAGGCACTGCCTTACCCACATCACATTGACCCATCCTACTGGATCAGGCAGGGAAAGTATATTACAGACCCCATCTGTTAAAGAATTTTGGCTGGTGGAGTCCAGGAAGAGACCCATCTCTGCTGTTGCCCCACCCTGTGAAGCTTCCTTTCCCCAGAGATAGAATATGCAGACCTGGCTCTGCCAATTCCCATGGAAGTTGAAGAGAGGCATGCAATCCTGGGGGCAGGCAATCCTAAAGGCACTCCTGCAGCCTTTTACTTTTCAATTAATTTTAGTTGTCCCCTATTTTACTGAACTTTGTATGTATTGTGTTTTTATTTATTTATTTATTTATTTATTTATTTATTTATTTATTTATTTATGGGACTTATATACAGCTTTAAGTGCAAGCACTCTCTAAGCGGTGTACACCAGTAAGCAATGTATATATATATTTACATTGCCCCCAACAATCTGGGTCCTCATTTTACCTACCCCGGAAGGATGGAAGGCTGAGTCAACCTTGAGCCGGTGAGATTTGAACCGCTGACCTGCTGAACACAGTCAGCTAAAGTGGCCTGCAGTACTGCACTCTAACTGCTGCGCCACCTCGGCTCTTTTATATGGTTTTGTGCTTTTTATCTGTAAACCATCCAGAATAACTCTGAATGTGAGAAGGGCAGTATCTAAATTTGATAGATAAATAAATAAATATAAATAAATAAAATCCAGTAGAGTGCCAAACATATACAGTATGTAGGAAACCATTGTGATGCACATTCACTTTTTCTATTGATTGTCCTGATTCAAATTTTTAGAATGTAGCTCTTGAAATCGGATTTATTCTTCTCCATAAAGTATGCTCACAAACTGATTGTCAGACTGACCTTGAAAGCATGTATAATCTAGGCAGACACATAAATGTTAAAATATGACATAATTTATTTTTATTGTTGCAAGATACTATTTTGAATAGGGAAACATTTTCTAGGTGAAACTGGCTGCTGTAAAGCCAAGTGGAAAAATCACTGGTATTTTAAGGGCAAAGTAGCAATAAAAATTCTGTAAAACACAAGGGCCAGTTTGCTGACTGCATTATGTCAGCTAATGCTGGAAACTCAGAAGGATAAGAATAACTCTTTTCTACTAAGAAACCTGTATCCAGTTTTCTAAATACTTTGCTATAATTAATTCTGAAAAGAGGAATAGTAGTTCTGCATTCTTAATGCGTCTTTTGGGAAGAGAAATAACTCTTTCAGATTTGGTAATAGTGTCAAGAGTTAGTCATGAAAGTCTAGGCTTCTGCAGTGATAGTGGGACAAATGAAGAACATGTTACTACTTCATCACACAAACACTGCAATTTACATACATCAGTTATCAGATACAAGTAAATTTAAGCTTGGCATCTTGTCCACATATAATTTTGTCATCATTTGTTGTGGATACCCTACATGAAACAAAAGATTTTCTCCAAGTGAACTGGGATACTTTGGTTCAACTTAAATTGGCTAAAAACAGCTACATTGGGTTTCAAAGAGTTTAAATTGCACCTTAGTTGTATTATATCCTCATTTCTAACAGTGGCCTATGTGGGGACAGAATGCTGTGGTTCTTTTTCCCCATAGAAATGTCCCGACTTAATAGTTTAAACATTTCCCAACTTAAATGCAAAGGACTTGGAAAACTAGTTTTCTACAGAGTGTCCTACTATGTTGAAATGTAGGCAGAAGGTTCCTGGATTCAAATGCAATGAACACGGAGAGGAGATTAAAGCTGAAAGTATTTATTAAGCATAGCTTAATAGAATAATTTTAATTGCAAAATATAATATAGATAGGAAGTATCTACAGTCAAGACAATAAAACAAAGCACGGCAACAGAAGAGTGTAAATAGAAGATGAAATTTCATATTCCTTTGGTAGATGGCAGTCCCTTTTCATCAAAAGCAGTAATGGATATTCCCCAATTTAATCCAGGTAGTTTATAGGAAATTTCCTGGATAAGCTTACACTGAGGCTCACCCCATGTAACTTCCTGAAAGCTTATATAATATCCTCCTGCAATTATTTATCCTCAAATGATGCATATTTATTGTTTGCACAGGAGAAGCCGTCGTGGCACAGTGGTTAGAATGCAGTATTGCAGGCTAACTCTGCCCACTGCCAGGAATTCAAATCTGACCAGTTCAAGATTGATTCAGTCTTCCATCCTTCTGAGGTCACTAAAATGAGGACCCAGAGTGTTGGGAGTAATATGCTGACATTGTAAACTGCTTAGAGAGTACTGTAAAGCACTGTAGGGCAGTATATAAGTCTAAGTGCTATTGCCATTGTTTATCCTCCTCCTTTGATAACTTTTGATAGTTATCAAAAGTTTTGATGTGAGATAGTATCAACTCCTACATGATTAGATTATTAGCCCTGGCAAAGCACTTCTAGAAATAGCATTCTTGAACCGAACTGCTTGAGAAATTGAAAGGGAGGTGAGTACTGAGTGCTCAGCCTTGTAGGCACAAGCATTTTCAACAGGGAAAATGGAATAAACCATCTAATCTCCTTGTCATTTACTTCCATCTATAGATAAACATTGTCCTTGTTAGGGTAACATTCAGAAACTCTCAAGCTTTAAAAACAAGTGAAAAGAATACGTCAAAGATGTTCATAAATCAAACATAAAAATTTATATAGAAAACAGAACTGTCCCATATCTAACGTATCTTCCTCTCTCCAGATAATTCTGATCCTGACCATGAGAAAGCTACCAGATGTTGCCTGCCCTTGTAATGATTATCTGGATTTTTGAAGCCCAGATCTCTAAGCTCTACTGGGAGTTAGTTCTGGGCAGAATCAGAATTGCTGTGGGAGGGGGCATTTTGTATTAGTTCCCTAGCTTTATCCTAGGCTGGCTGGGGAAGTCTGGGAGTTGACGTCCACACATCTTAAAGTTGTTGCAGTTGAGAAACACAGATGTAAGGCAATCAGATGAACATTTTCCTTGCTGTTCTTTGCTCTCTCCCTACTCCATCAGCATTAATGTTCATAGAAGTGTCAACTTCTGACTTCTCTGTTCTCCCTTGATCATAGCAAAAAAAATGACACAGATTATCGAAAACACTGTGCCCTTTGTTTCAGTCTATGCACAATTTTGCTCCCCTGTTCTCACTTCAGCAAAACTTCTCCATCCCTTGCTGTTTCCTCTTTAAGCTCACCCACTTACGAATTACAAATCCATGAAACTTCCTCACACCTGCTGTGAACTGAACCTCAGAGCTCCTTATGAATTTAAGCCAAATGTCTGAAGAAATCCTGCATAGTGTTTGATAATAACAATTCTAATAAACACTTTATTATAGCTACTTATGATCTCTAACATTAGGCATAGTCTGAACCCCTGCAATTTTCAACAAGGATCAATGCTAAGTGCTTCACTTCCCACTGTGAATGCCTCTTAAGGCCTCTCTTGGAAACTAATCCTTTGGCCTTCCCATTTTTCCACATATCCTTTTCTAAAGAAGCAAAAAGCTCTGAATCACCCTGCCAGGTACTTATATGTGAAAGCACATAGGTATTTCCCATCACATATATTATTATTTAGGAATTGTGGCATGCAATCAATATCAATTCTCTGCAGTGCTTCATAGTATTATTTCTCCCATATAGAGTCACAGAACTTGAAACTTGAAATAGATGTGTGTTCTATTCAAATACCTGCTTCATGTATCTGACCACATGTTGAGGCTCAAGTAGCCAGGCTGCATTCTTTGCAGGCATAGTTGTTTTGCAGGTTAGCAATGTCCTGGTTAAATAGCTGGGACAATATCTGGGCAAAAAAGATTGTTAGGATACTTTTACTAAGTTTTGCCTTGCTAACTGCAGACAGAAGTGATCAGAAGAGCTGAATTCTATAAAAATCCTTAATATGCATCTTTCACTGTTTTGCAGTGAAAACAGGAAAGAGATACTCTGTCATCTCCATTTTGTCTGTAGAATATTAGCCCTTGTAGACATATGACATTTGACCTTCTCAAGAAGCTGAATAATTAGAGTTTTTTTTTAAAAAAAAAAAAAACTGCTACTCAAATACAAAAGCATTATTATTTAGCATGCCTGTCTGGAATCCTAAGAAAGTGGGGGGAAATGAAGTCAATGATACATCAGGTAATGGATTTGGGTGTCATATGTTTGGATGCATTGTGCCCTACAAACATGGGAGTTTGTAGGTACAGACAATTCCCATTTAGCAATTTCTCAATTTGTTGGGACTATATTGCCTAAAGTATACTCAGTTCAATTTTATGAAAGTTGCTATG